GAGGCAACTAACGGGATCTGGTGGTCAGACTCGCTGACTTGGTTGATGCATGTCATCGTATCCCAATTGCGTGGATCGATGCTTATAATGTCAATCACTGGATTGTCTGGTCCAGACTCGATTATTTACATACCTCCATTATATAGCTGGAATATTGCAGAGCGTGGCGTTAGACAACAAACTAACAAACAAAAGTAACTGTACCGACTTCGACTGCACTTGTAACCAAGGGGAGGTTGAGTAGCCCAGTAGGTAGAGTGTTCACTTGTCACGCTGCGAGCCCGGGTTTGATCCCACACATGGGTACAATGTGTGAGGACTGGAAGTCCCTGCTAGGTTATTGCTAGAATTCATAACTCCAGCAACCAAGACCAAGACCTGGGTTAGAATTGTTGGTTGTTTTTTGTTTCTTTGGGGGGTGTTGTTTTTTTAATTTTCATAGTGAATGAGACCATGGTTAGGTGGATAGGATAGGGTTGCGTAGAATAGAAGAAGGGTACGGAGGAGGAGATAGGATAGCAGTATCTAATATAAGTTAAGAATTGACCATTTTTCATTTGTTTTTAATACTATCTTTTTTATCAGATATCATACTTCACTAAAAGTAAAACTGTTCTTCAGCAACAGCTTGTCATAAGAAGCGACTGACATGATTTTGTGGTAGGGCTCGCTGACTTGGTTGATTGTTGTCATCGTATCCCAATTGCCTGAAACAATTCTCAAAATATCAATCACTTGATTGTATGCTCCAGACTCAATTATTTACAGACTGATGTCATATAGCTGGAATATTTCTGATTGTGGCGTTTAACAAACAAACAGTTACGTTAATCTCAAGAAAGCACAGAGAAGAATGTGTATCGTTGCAGTAATCTATGCTAGTCAGAGGCCTGTCCCACCCCCTCCACCATTCTGCAGACTATGAAATTCAGGGCGGTAGGGTAGCCTAGTGGTTACAGCATTCGCTCTTCATGCCAAATGCGCAGGTTTGATTCCCCACTTGGATACAATGTGTAAAGCCTATTTCATTTGTCCCCTGCGATGATATTGCTGGAATATTGAAAAAAGTAGTGTAAAACCCAACTCACTCACTGATAAACGAATACATTTCAAATTGGAAAGTTTTAGGCAATCGTTTATTCTAAGTGTACCAAAACTTTAACAAAAGCATTTGAACACGCCCCCTTCCTCTCCCCCTCCCCTTTCTCCATCAGCCAATACTGGCACTCTTTACTTGCCATGCTGGCTAGACTTGCATCAATAACATGCCCCCTCCCCGTTCTCCATCAGCCAATACCGGCACTCTTTACTTGCCATGCTGGCTAGACTTGCATCAATAACATGCCCCCTCCCCCTTCTCCATCAGCCAATACCGGCACTCTTTACTTGCCATGCTGGCTAGACTTGCATCAATAACATGCCCCCTCCCCGTTCTCCATCAGCCAATACCGGCACTCTTTACTTGCCATGCTGGCTAGACTTGCATCAATAACTCTCCCCCTTCTCCATCAGCCAATACCGGCACTCTTTACTTGCCATGCTGGCTAGACTTGCATCAATAACATGCCCCCTCCCCGTTCTCCATCAGCCAATACCGGCACTCTTTACTTGCCATGCTGGCTAGACTTGCATCAATAACATGCCCCCTCCCCGTTCTCCATCAGCTAATACCGGCACTCTTTACTTGCCATGCTGGCTAGACTTGCATCAATAACATGCCCCCTCCCCGTTCTCCATCAGCCAATACCGGCACTCTTTACTTGCCATGCTGGCTAGACTTGCATCAATAACATGCCCCCTCCCCCTTCTCCATCAGCCAATACCGGCACTCTTTGCGCTTGTAGATTCTTTCAGGTGGCACATAACCTCTGGACGAGCATAGTTTAAAGAGTCTGGAAAGCAAGAGGCATTACTTATAATAACCAGAATGACCATGACGGAAAGCTCGAGGCATTATTTATAATAACCAGAATGACCATGACGGAAAGCAAGAGGCATTATTTATAATAACCAGAATGACCATGACGGAAAGCTCGAGGCATTATTTATAATAACCAGAATGACCATGACGGAAAGCAAGAGGCATTATTTATAATAACCAGAATGACCATGACGGAAAGCTAGAGGCATTATTTATAATAACCAGAATGACCATGACAGAAAGCAAGAGGCATTATTTATAATAACCAGAATGACCATGAGGGAAAGCAAGAGGCATTATTTATAATAACCAGAATTACCATCATGGAAAGCTAGAGGCATTACTTACAATTACCAGAATGACCATGACGGAAAGCAAGAGGCATTATTTATAATAACCAGAATGACCATGACGGAAAGGAAGAGGCATTATTTATAATAACCAGAATGACCATGATGGAAAGCAAGAGGCATTATTTATAATAACCAGAATGACCATGACGGAAAGCAAGAGGCATTATTTAAATTAACCAGAATGACCATGACGGAAAGCAAGAGGCATTATTTATAATAACCAGAATGACCATGACGGAAAGCAAGAGGCATTACTTACAATAACCAGAATGACCATGACAGAAAGCAAGAGGCATTATTTATAATAACCAGAATTACCATCATTGAAAGCTAGAGGCATTACTTACAATAACCAGAATTACCATGACGGAAAGCAAGAGGCATTATTTATAATAACCAGAATGACCATGACGGAAAGCAAGAGGCATTATTTATAAAAACCAGTATGACCATGTCAGAAAGCAAGAGGCATTATTTATAATAACCAGAATGACCATGACGGAAAGCAAGAGGCATTATTTATAATAACCAGAATGACATGACAGAAAGCAAGAGGCATTATTTTTAATAACCAGAATGACCATGACGGAAAGCAAGAGGCATTATTTATAATAACCAGAATGAGCATAACGGAAAGCTCGAGGCATTTTTTATAATAACCAGAATGACCATGACGGAAAGCGCAATTGCTGACAATATCTGGAGTTGCAATGGCTGAAAAAAAGTCCAGATGAAGAGTTTGGTCATCTGCAATGAAAGATCCAGCCGAATTTCAAATACACAAAACGTCTTCCCCACTGAAGTACATTTGGAAGAAATCTGTCCATGATGGGATATTTCTGACAGCCTTCTGAGTTCAGTGATGCTTTCTCGGAATACTGTTACACAAAATTAAGTACCTTTACCCTGCTGCTTAAGGAAGCTGTGAGGTGGCCTAGTGGTTAAAGTGTTTGCTCCTGACAGTGAAAGTCCGTGTTTGACTCCCACATGGGGAAATGGTGTGCAGCCAGATTCTGGTGCTTAAGGAAGCTGTGAGGTGGCCCAGTGGTTAAAGTGTTTGCTCCTGACAGTAAAAGTCTGTGTTTGACTCCCACATGGGGAAATGGTGTGCAGCCAGATTCTGGTGCTTCCTGAGAGACACACAGCAGATGAATGTAGATTCCTACCTGTGTAAAAAGACTTGTGCCATCTTTCTAAAAGATGCCCGCAACTGTTCCTCATTGTATCCCATCTTCATCATTTCGGAGTCACTGACTCAATGACATCTTTTGGTTTTGAAGCTCTCTTTCTTTCTCCTACTGGGCTCACAGACTATGGTGACATGATTTCACCGAGCCTGACCTTCCGATCCCATTTAGTCGCCTCTTTCAACAAGCAATGGACCTGTTCCATTTGTCCCCATACAAAAGTTTGGCCAAAGGCTACATACATCAATGCTGCAGCTAATTAACCATCACCAGCTTGATAGACATGTTCCTTGAAGAAAATAATTGAGGACTTAATCATTGTCCTTTGAAATGTCCCCTGTTAGCCTTATGTTGTTTTTGTGAAATGGTATGGATGTAGCTAATGTCATTGTGTCCCCTGCCATAATATTGCTGGGTTATTGCTAATTTACATTAATTTCTGTCACTGAAACTTCCTCAGCAGCATGAACCAAGACATAGTCCTGTGACTGTCGTTCCTTGCCCATTGCTAGCCATGATGCTTCATGACAGTTTAGCTGTAATACCTTTTGACAAGGGCACCTGTTTAAGCCGACCCATTCCGCATAGTCCTGTGACTGTCGTTCCTTGCCCATTGCTAGCCATGATGCTTCATGACAGTTTAGCTGTGATACCTTTTGACAAGGGCACCTGTTTAAGCCGACCCATTCCACATAGTCCTGTGACTGTCGTTCCTTGCCCATTGCTAGCCATGATGCTTCATGACAGTTCAGCTGTAATACCTTTTGACAAGGGCACCTGTTTAAGCCTACCCACTCCGCACACAATGAAGTCATTGTCTTTTCATAAGACCGCTCCTACATCTGCTTCCCACATTTGGTATGCTGACATTTAGATGTTTAAGTTTGTGAGATTTTGTCATGGTTTTCATGTGGTTAAAATTTATGATTTTATTCTGCACGATTAATAAGCATGTTGACGTATGAATGTTTGTTTTGCGACATGTGTTTTTTTGCCGTGTGATATATGCACAGCATCTGAAGACTTTGAGTCCATGCTTGCCTTGTGTTGTTAAAAACTCATGTTGGTGTATGCATTTCATCCAATACACATCTAACAACAAGTACACACTGCACAAGATCAGTGTACAGAGTAGTGTTAATAGGTGAGGTGAGGTGAAATTGGATTTAACATCGCGTCCAAGATTATTGCACTTATATAGCAACTAATAAAGTGACAATACAGTGTCTTTTTGCAAACAAACTAAATTACTTTTTAGTCCTGAATCATATGTGTCAATATGTGTAATTTCAGTTTCTTAGTTTGCCAGTTTAGTTTGTTTTAAATCATGTGTTTCTGACATTACAAAGCTTAGATAGAAGTTAAGAACTCCTTTTCCGCAGAATTCAGAAAATTATGTAGACATTTTATTAGGTTGTTGCAGATGAAAGGACAGAAGTTACATCCTCTGTATCAAGACATATTACCATCTCGCTCTTCATCACGGCGATTGTGGATATATGGCCGACATGTACTTATTGTTTGTGTTTCTTGTTTCAGTATGTGTCCAAGCTGACACCGGCTATTCTTAGCGAGATGGATAAGCTGCTTGGGAATAAGCCCGTGTACAAGCGAGAAACATACAGGTGAACAATACCACTTTTCACTGGTTCTCTACCGCATGTTGTTACGCCCACCTGCCACGCCCACCTGCCCCGCCCCTGGTGGCTGCAGGTGCCCCTGGCTGACTGCATGGAGTATAGCCAGACACTTGTTGGACTACATTATCCGTTTTTTAGAGCGTCCATCACATTGACATTTCCCTTGGGAAAAGTAATCCACTTCTAACCCACATTGTTACAAGACGATTTGGAATCACAGAACTTTAATGTCACATGGACGCTGAAGTCGATGACACTAGTTGTGGCTTAATCCAAGTTGAAGATAGACAGCGACTGCAGTAGCTATGATTCACTATTTCAGAGATGACCTCTGGTTAGCTGCGGCCATGATGAAGCTTGTTCTTGCCTTTATGTTTCTCCTCGAGTAGGTTCCGATCGCCTCCGTGGCTGCGTGCACACTCTTCGAGTAGGTTCGATCGCCTCCGTGACTGCGCGCACACTCCTCGAGTAGGTTCCGATCGCCTCCGTGGCTGCACGCACATGTATATTACTGCCATTCTTCACAATCAGGGTGTTCCTATGCAACATATTACTGCCCAATACTTGTGTGCTGTCATTCAGTAGGTAGATGAGAGTGAGGTTCGGAGGGGGAATTAAGCACCTTCAGCAGGTGCCCTGGCAAGCTCAACAGCTGATTCAGTGTTTCTCTCACCTTAAAGACTTCCAACCCTGTTTATTTAAGTACGATTAAGAGATATTACAATGTACCCACATGTTTATCTGAAAAGTAGCTGATTCAGGTGTACATGATGTGGAAGGGAAAATCTTTCAGCCTGTCCAGGATACCTTGGTATTGAGTAACGTAGAGGTGACTTAATGGATGGGGTGGTCTGACTTGTTGACTTGGTTGTCAATTCCGCTTGTCCCGAATACCTTGGTATTGAGTATCTTAGAGGTGACTTAATGGATGGGGTGGTCTGACTTGTTGACTTGGTTGTCAATTCCGCTTGTCCCGAATACCTTGGTATTGAGTAACTTAGAGGTGACTTAATGGATGGGGTGGTCTGACTTGGTGACTTGGTTGTCAATTCCGCTTGTCCCGGATACCTTGGCATTGAGTATCTCAGTCAGCATGAATAAAACTACTTCTGAGGTCTCTATTGGATGAGGCTACAGAGTAAATACAAGACATTTGGCATAAATGGTCCCAATGTTTCGAGGGATGAGTTTTAGTGACCAAGATGTTGAACTCTGAGAATATGTATTTGATATGTGGAGTTTTTTTAGAAGATCCAGTATACCAATTGTTTTTTTAAAGTACAGTCAACTACGGTTATAATGAACTGAAAGGGACCACTAATTTTAGTTCGTTATAACCTTAGTTCATTATAAGCATATATACAGCAAATGCCCAGGACCAAAATAACACTATGTCAGTTCATTAGAAGCGTGTTCGTTATAACCATAGTTTACTGTATCATCCTACAATTGGTACCAAAGTCAATGTGAGAGAAATACTCAATCAGTTTTCAGCCGATTTCCCGACAACATCTCATACGTCAGCGACCAGACACACATCCTTGTATGGTCTTAGGACAAGAGCGTGGTGATTCTCATGCTAGTACTCAATGCACTCGGGAACACATTTACAAAGACAAGAACTCAAATGGCATATACCAAAATATCTAATATTTTTAAACACCTATTTTGATAATGTTCACCTTTCATTCCAAATGGCAGATGTAGCATGTAGTTACTCTCCTCATATCTAATGGCACGACCTCGACATCATTGTGAGGTACATTTGTAACATTTGATTTATTCACTGTCACGTTAATGACTTCTAATCATGAAGACCAAAATATGTGGTATACCTAAAAAATGCATTTTTCAATTACTCAAATCTCAACATAAAAGTAAATACATTGATGACAGTACAATTTTCAATTAATCCACCTTAACATAGATTATTTGGGAGAATCTGTATTAGAATAAACTTTACTGTAATTTCTATGGCTAAAACTTAATTTTGATCAAGACTGTATTCCTTGTTTATCAAGTGGATTGACTTTCACATCCCTGTATGATGTATTGACAAGCTATTGGTGTCTTATTTGTTTGTTAATATGTATGTTTATACTTGTAGGAATGCCTTGCATTATCCGCGCTGTAGGCTGTGATACTTACTATTTGATTATATTTACATTTTTATAATTTGTTTATGGCCACATTTATGATACATCAATCCTGTAATTCAGGTATGGGCACCTTGTTTTGACATGCCTGCTTTAATGTGCCATAGTTTGCACTGTCAAGAAAAAGAGGTTGCAGAGAATGGCAAGCTAAAATGTATGCCTACATACAGGGCTAAAACTAAAACAAGAATTCTCAAATTCACAGTGGAAATATGTGTCTTAATAGATTATAACTTATAGGTTATAACTTATATTTACCTGCAACAAAATAAAGTACCTCGCAGAAGAATCAGTGACAGTTTGTAAATATCCCAAACACTAGCTGGGATCATCCTCCCCACCCCACCCCTCCTGGGTTGGCATTACCCCCCCCCCCTGGACTGGCATTATCTCCCCTGTGTGAGGGTTATCTCCCTTAGGACTGGTATGATGTCCTCCCGGGTTGGCATTATCTCCCCCTGGACTGGCATTATCTCCCCTGTGTGAGGGTTATCTCCCTTAGCACTGGCATTATGTCCCCCTGGGTTGGCATTATCTCCCCCTGGACTGGCATTATCTCCCCTGTGTGAGGGTTATCTCCCCTGTGTGAGGGTTATCTCCCTTAGGAGTGGCATGATGTCCCCCTGGGTTGGCATTATCTCCCCCTGGACTGGCATTATCTCCCCTGTGTGAGGGTTATCTCCCCTGTGTGAGGGTTATCTCCCTTAGGAGTGGCATTATGTCCCCCTGGGTTGGCATTATCTCCCCCTGGACTGGCATTATCTCCCCTGTGTGAGGGTTATCTCCCTTAGGACTGGCATGTCCCCCCGGATTTACATTATCTCCCTTTGTGTTGGCGTTATCGCCCCCTAGGTTGGCATTATCTCCCTTGACATGGCATTATCTCCCCTGACATGGCATTATCTCCCCTGACATGGCATTATCTCCCCAAAGCTCCTCAAATTCGTGGAGCTCTCTATACTATCGTTGCCACCAGTCAAAACTGCCCACCATGATAGGTGGCTACAACCATCCTTGGAGTTGAACTCACAGCTGACTGACTGACACATGATGACTGCCACGACGTGGACTACTCTTTCCCCTGCTTAATTCTTTATCTTTGCGTGTTAATTTAAATTTCTGTTTCATTACAACTATCATGTAATTGACATAGTAATAATATAAGGGGGAAGTTGGTTGATTTTCTGTTAGTCTGCAATCTCGATCCAATCTGATCAAACAAACAAAAAGGTAAATTCAACTGGGAAATATTGTCAGCTGTATACCTTTTCAAAATTAACTGTGCTGGCAATCCCAAAGACAAAAACAAAAGTATAAACATCACTACATTTGGGGTTAAAGGGGAAATTTCAAGATTCTTGTAATGGCTGCGCTCACACTGGTGGTAGCGATGTTACCGAGAGTGTAACGAAGGTGTCACACTTGGAAGGAACTTGTATCTCCCCCTGGGCAAGCATTATCTCCCCTTTGGTTGGCATTATCTCCCCTGATTAGGTATTATCTCCTCCTGGATTGGCATTATCTCCCCTTTGGCTAGCATTATCTCCCTTTGGGTTGGCACTATCTCCCCTGAGTTGGCATGATCTCCCCTGGGCTGGCATTATCTCCCCTGAGTTGGCATTATCTCCCCCTGGGCTGGCATTATCTCCCCCTGGGCTGGCATTATCTCCCCTGGGCTGGCATTATCTCCCCTGGATTGGCATTATCTCCCCTTGGGTTGGCATTATCTCCCCTGAGTTGGCATTATCTCCCCTGGTTTGGCATTATCTTCCCCTGGGTGGCAATCCCATCCTTGTGTATTGCAACATACTGAACTACACACTTGCCACCAGTCACATTTTCACGTATGTTGAATGTCAGTATGAGACTGTCAACAGCCCAGACTCACTTCCCCAGATAGTTCAGGACTATCGACAGTCCAGACTCACTTCCCAGGATAGTTCAGGACTATCAACAGTCCAGACTCACTTCCCAGGATAGTTCAGGACTATCAACAGCCCAGACTCACTTCCCAGGATAGTTCAGGACTATCTACAGTCCAGACTCACTTCCCAGGATAGTTCAGGACTATCAACAGCCCAGACTCACTTCCCAGGATAGTTCAGGACTATCAACAGCCCAGACCTACTTCCCAGGATAGTTCAGGACTCACTTCCCCAGATAGTTCAGGACCATCTTCCTGAGGCAAGGGGGGTTAACTGACTTTAAAAATAACCAGCCACCAATGGTTATTACGAGTTATGTCCCATCTCAGCCTCTCCTGTGGACCAATCAGATTCCACCTCTCGTATCACTTGCATTTTTATTAAAAAAAATGGCGTTGCCAAGTCAAGACGATCTGAGCGATAATCAAGATCTATATTGTGATACAAAGGGTCTTACATTGCGAAGTACATCAAATCACGTGAGTACCTTGATTAAAACCATGAAAAGATTTGGAAAATATCTGTTGACAATGAGTTGGCGAGCATATGCTTTGCAAATCCTGCAATCGACCGAAATCTGCATGACAGTTTACAAAACAGATTTCGATTTTGTTGCGCACTTTTGATTGGACTAAGCATAGATTCGTTAGTCCAGCAAAAAATGTAACTCCATAATACAAGCCTAGTTCGGCAAGGGTGGAAACTGGACTTTAGTAGTCAGTTAACTCTCTTGCGTCGGGGAGATGGTTAAGGACTGACTCCCCAGGATAGTTCAGGGCCCCGTTCCACAAAGCGATCTTAGCGATAAGGCGCTCGTAACTCCCAGACTTACGACTGTCGTAGCACTAAGATCGCTTTGAGGAACAGGGCCCAGGACTGTTCCAGCACACTGCATGACAACACCAGGCAGCTAGCTGGCCACTTTGTTTCTCAGTCAGAGGAAGGAAACTAATCACCCGTTTTATTGTTTCTTCTGTGAGGTACTTCAAGTTTTGGCTAAGTGACAAATATTTTACTCATTTCTGATCAGAAGAAATTATATCATATACATCTATAAGGAAATCACAATGATATTACTTTATTCAAAATCAAGTCAACTTAAAGAAATATTGAACAATATTCAGTATATTGTAAGCATGTTCATATACAAAATATTTCAAAGCTGTCTCTAATCTCTATTAATGCTGCTATGCCTTGTTTATATACTGATGGAAAGAAGTAAGCAGACATTAAGTAAAAGCAGTATTTGTTGGACATAACGGACATTCTGGTCGTCTTCCGGACCCATTGAAGTTGACTCTTATAAGTGTCATAAGACAAAAACTTGGCAAACATTATTTGGCCATAATGCTGTGTTCACTTACTTTTTCCCTTCAGTATATACATGTGTGTGCGAGTGTGTGTGCACTTAATGAGTGATACTACCCATTATTCATTCCTTTTTCCTATTTATGCATCTATATTGAGCATTCATCATCTTAGCAACTTGACAATTTTGTCAACATACTTATTCTAATTTTACACTTATTGCAGCTGTATTACTCAAAATGGCACATTTCGATTATATTTGTCTTGTACATTTCTACAAATAACTATACCTTCTATCCTATTTGAATTTTGAATTTTGACGAATTTATAATAGATCAACCGAAACATTCGTAGTATAGTATTTAACACTATACCAGGGAACTTCGGCAAATACTTTTCTATGGCTACGCCCATTTTGAGTGTAGATCCTTGAACTGGGCAGATTTTGTACTTGTTTGTTTGTCATTGGAATTGACTTATAAACAAGATTCTTTCTTTATGGCCAAGTGCATAACAGATAGTATAAATAAACCACATTTGAGCAGATACTAGTACCTGGATAAGTGTGGTATATAAATATATAATATATTATGATATTATGTCGCATGAATCAGCAGAAATTAAAACCAATGGGCAAAACTAGTAAGTCCAACTTACCTCAATTCCTTCACTCTATTTGGAAACAGAAATGTTTTCCTCTCCATTGATTGACCAACAAATACATGATTTGTCCTGACCTGATATCTGTAGTAATGTCACATGAACATGAGGTCGTCTGATCCAAGGCGGCCATTTTGAAATCCCTTGAAATCCAAACAAGACGATGTGTGTTGGGTTTTTGATGGTTGTTATATTTGTTTCGGCTGACTGATTTCAAGGGACTTCAGTGGATTTTATACCAGCAGCATTATATATGATCAGAAACTGATCTTGTTTTTGTTCATTTCTTTACACATTTACTGCTTCCTTCAAAGGACGTATGCTAATTTCCAAACTGAAAATAAAACTGATCAAAATTGACTTCTTGTTGTTTTTCAACTATCAAGCAGTAAAAGAATCACGGAAAAGTAATCCTTTGAGGTTTAAGTAATAAGATAGCACCTAAGTCAGTGAGGATGACGCAGCCGTTACTGCATGATCATAGGACAACCCTAGGACCACAAGTGACATGTTGTTTTTAGGAGGTGTGTGGGCAGTTACAGAATGTACTAGCATTATCAATCATGGGTAGTTGTGTGTAGGATTAATTCAGCTCACCCTATAGATATGCCAGATTGAATAAGATCAAAACAATTTTGAAAAAAGAATCTGACCTACGAGGGGTTATTTGTATGTAAGAAGGCTAAATAAAATAAATAAAAAATGGCTTTGTTTGTGACAGACTAGCTGGTCGGCTCGGAGTCAGTATACTGTGTCTGAATGGGGTATTTATGTTAAACTGCGTTATGATATCTCAGTAGGCTAGCACTATAAATCGGCATCGTTCCAGACTAGCACACACGCACACACGCACACATGCACACACGCACACACACACACACACACACACACACACACACACACACACTTGACTAAGGTAGGGCTGTCACAGACATCTCCTGACTATCATTTCCCATAAAGGAATATCCAAAACTTGGAATAATTGACCTAATGAAATGAAGTATATTTTTCTTTTTTAAGGTGTCTGGTTACAAATTCTGATAAACATTGTTCATATGCTTCAAAACCTTTATGGGTGTATCTCAAATATTTCAATAAACTGCAAAAGGTGTTGAGTCATTCTGTCCAACCAGTGACATCCCTAGCCTATTGTGTAGAGGCCTTCTGGACCTCCATCTGTTAGCAAGCCAGACATCCTCCTAACACAAGGACACCAACGACAGCAGCACAGAAGACTGGAGACAACTCAGGAGTCTTTCGGGATGGTCACTGGGCTGGGACGTCCTTGCCTATCTTGATGACTTTATCAAACAAGACTTATTGGGCTGTCAGACAATGCCTTGATTGTTTCGATGAAACTAAACCTGGGCAATTTACAGATAATGCCTTCAACCTGCTTGATGACTGACTGCCCAATAGGTTCTGCATTTGAGGATGTCTGTTCAATCACAACACAATTAAACTTGGAGAGCCATGCAATCAAGCTGATGTACCCTGGTGAAGTGGCTGGTTCCCCAAGACATCAACTGACATTCAACGGTTTTCAAAACAGGCATTAGTTGGAACAGAGACATATGCCGGTATTTAGTCTCTGGTTAGAATCTTGAAGGACGACTCAGTCTTAGTATAATTACTGTTGGAACAGAGACATATGCCGGTATTTAGTCTCTGGTTAGAATCTTGAAGGACGACTCAGTCTTAGTATAATTACTGTTGGAACAGAGACATATGCCGGTATTTAGTCTCTGGTTAGAATCTTGAAGGACGACTCAGTCTTAGTATAATTACTGTTGGGACAGAGACATATGCCGGTATTTAGTCTCTGGTTAGAATCTTGAAGGACGACTCCGTCTTAGTATAATTACTGTTGGAACAGAGACATATGCCGGTATTTAGTCTCTGGTTAGAATCTTGAAGGACGACTCAGTCTTAGTATAATTACTGTTGGAACAGACACATATGCCGGTATTTAGTCTCTGGTTAGAATCTTGAAGGACGACTCCGTCTTAGTATAATTACTGTTGGAACAGAGACATCAGTTAGAACCGAGACATCAGATGGAACAGAGACCATATTCTGTATGGTCTCCGGTTAGAACGGACGACTCAGACTTGGTAAACTGTCTATCCCGACCCCCTGTTGATATAATGCCACTGTGTTGTAGCAAGTCTCACCCTGACAAACAGCCTGTCTAACACTGTTGCTTATTTCCTTCAGTCGACAAAGAGCCCGACAAGTTCCACGGCGATAGCGCTAGGCAGGGGTAAGATCTCACTCACATTGCAGCACAGTCACTTTGGAGAACAAAGATTTTAGGAAATTATACAGAGCTGTCAACCGTATCTATGGCAATTTAACAAAATCGGATAACAATATTAACTGATAAAACGAATTGTAATTGATCAATTACAAATAAAAAATGGATCATTTATTGAAGCATTGATAAAATATGAATCAAATCAATTTTGAAAATTTTCATCCGGTGATGACTTCACCGATTTTGAGGTTTATCTGTAAAATTTGTGAGAAATCTTGACACTCCAAAGTTGACAGATGCGATTTATAGATCTTTGGCATGGTGTTTTCCACAATTTGTTCTCTTAAAATGCACTGTAAACATTCTAATTATTTCAAAATTATAATCTTCATTTCCTATGATTTCTCATGGTTTCGGAATGTCTCCTTTATAAATAGCTTCAAGCATGTTTGAGATCTTACCTCTATTTTCAACATCTTTGTTTTGTGAAAACTTGTGTATTAGAACTCTCTATGCTATAGTTTCCATGGTGGAATTATCAGGTACAGATTCTCCGATTTCTTGATCTTAAACACACCTTGCTTTTATTTTGATGAAGAAAATACCTATTTAAAACTTTTTTAACATCACAGGTTTTCTTTTCTGTTCTTTTTTTCGAATCTTTGTTATGATCACAATCAAAATTCACTGACCAGTTTAATTGAATGATTTCTAAACGCTAGATCCTCCTTTTTAGATATATTAGCTACAAGAGAATTGGCTGTCAGAACTTGTACTTGGTTGTTCACAGAAGTGTGTTTTCTATAGATCATATCATTTCATATTTTGTTGATTTATGTGGCCATTATTTCTGAATATCGAGCTTCAGGAACAGTTGAAAATTACTTCATGAAACTAACCCTCAACAAGATGGAAGAGATGTATTCAAGCACATTTATTCCCGCATCTCATGCTGATACTATGAGTGTATATTCCAACATTGGACCAGTAGTGATTCCTTGGGCTGGCTCAGAAAGTGGAATCTTGTTCAACTGGAACTTGTAGCTCACCTTGAAAGCTCATTTGCAAATAAATAACTGCTCTTGTAGCTCACCTGGAAAGCCAATTTGTGAACAAATAACAGCCCTTGTAGCTCACCT